GCAGACAGCAGGACTCAAGCACCACTCTACCGCCTTCCACTTTAAGGTACATACAGGCTTTGTAGAGCAAACAAGAACAGGATAAGTGTTCATTCACTTTGTTGAATTTGATGATTTCATAATTTCAGATGAGAACAGTGTATAACTGTTTTTAAACATGCAAACTTAAACATGTTAACCCTTATCAATATGTGTTTGTGCAGCCTTCACAAACTTACCATATGAATCTTATGGCTTAACGAGCTCATATTACACTGTTTTCAGATTTATAGCTCTGGAAAAAAATAAGAGACCAATTATCAGTGTCTCTGATTTTACTACTTATTTGTACGTGTTTGAGTAAAATGAATTTTTTTGTTTCATTCTATAAACTACTGACAACATTCTCCCAAATTCCAAATAAAAATATTGTTATTTAGAGCATTTATTTGCAGAAAATGACAAATGGTCAAAATAACACACAGCTTTCATGGGTCTTGGCCTGTTCTCCACCAAGATGAATACTTATGGTCTTTAGCAAACCTCAGCCTGGCTCTTCTTTGATTGAAAGTTTGATGAAAGTTTTTTTTTTTCTTGAGCCCTGCACCTAGGAGCCTGTATCGAACTGTTCTTGCTGTGCACTTCACCATTTCAGACAAAAAAATGCAGTGGTCTCTTATTTTTTTCCAGAGCTGTAAGTTGTAATGCGGTTTCCTTGTCACTAACAGACCTGGAGTTGTGTTTTGTTTCAATCATACATGTTTAACTCACAAACCCTGCACATTTAGACTGAGTTCTTTTTCTCTGAAACAGAAAACTCTCCACCTTGTGATGTCATGTGGTAATACAGGAAGTGCTCCACTGAGTTTTTAAATTCCATACACCTTCAGTAGAATCAGTTGAATGATTTCAAAATGGCCAATCTCTGCTGAGGTAAAAGGAGCTGATAACTTGAAAACTGCAGCTTCCTGACATCACAAGGTGGAACAGAGCATTTTGAGCTTTGGAGATGTAGACGGACTTATAACGCGTTAGTGAAACATGTGTGAATGAAAAACACAACTCCAGGTCTGTTTTTGAGGAGGTAGCAGCATTCTATCTATCTATGGTTTGAAGCTTGTTTTTAGTTTTAGTTTTTCCTCGAATGATGCAGAAAAGAGGAAGCCACTGTGTGTGTGAATGTTCATGTGTGTTAGTTTCAATAATATGTAATATAGGAGCTTAATGTCCTTTCAGCTGATAACAGTAGTCTTCAGGATTGAATAATGGCATCACTTTTGGAAATAGCTGGCCTATATAACTCTGTTTTTGTAACAAATTACAAAATCTATGATCCACAGTATTGTAATGACTGGTGGATCAAATGCGGCAGACAATAAAAGTCCAAAAAATTAACAGGATTTATTGTTGACAAAAGATATGCAGGTTGCTGGGAGCTGGGTAAGAGGCTGGGGTGAGAGAATGAGAGAGTGCAAAAAATGGGTCTGAAGAAAAACAAGAAAAGGCAAACTAAGTACTGGGAAAGCAGGCAAACATGTGAGAAACAGAAATGGAGCCAACAGTTTGTACCACAGAGGATACTTGAACCGGTCTTAAATACTGCAGAGGTGAAGGCTGATAAGTAGGAGAATAAGCTGCAGGTGAGTACTGTAGAGGGTGGAACCAAAGACGAGGGTGGTGCCAGATTCTCCGCCCAGCTCCAGACACACAAGATCCAGAGGGGAAGAGAAGACAGCATGAGGGGAAAAAACAAAAATCCTAACACACAAATGCTGAATCTATTCATTATATGTTTGGGATTGGTTCCACAAACTTGCCATTTTAGTCTTCTGTCTTCAGGTTCTTTTAGCTGTGTTTGGAGTTGAATAATGGTGTCACTTTCTGAAGCGATTGTGAAAAAAAAGAATGACCTTTTGTTTTTATATACTCACAGACCTCAGTCCCTGCGGCCTCCAGTTCCCATGGTGCTTTGCTGGCTGTAGTTCCTGGAGTCTTGGGTCTAATGGCCTTTTCTCCAGAGACAGACTCCCGTGGGAACCCCTGGAGAGCTCTGCACTTCTGCCAGGTACTCACATAACCACTGGCCCCTGTGCTTTTGAGACTGTAATACAGGTGCAATATGTACCGTATTTTCCGGACTATAAGTCGCTCCAGAGTATAAGTCGCACCAGCCAAAAAATGCGCAATGAAGAAGAAACAAAACATATATAAGTCACACCGGACTCACACTTTTTGGGGAAATTGATTTTATTAAATTAGAGACCAGGAACCAACATTTCATCTTGAAAGTCAAGTTCTAGTAATAACAACAAAACAGAGAACAACAGACTGAATAAGCATTAATATGTTAATGTAACATATTAACAGTTATTCAGATAATTATAGCATAAACAACATAACATAAGTTTACCAAACTCACAATCTCACTCCAAATCACTAATCCTTGGTGTCACTTCTACGCAACCTCTGTAGATAAACCATAGATCCTTGAGGTAAACAGTGCGCCTCTTCCTCTTCTACCTCGCTGTCATCAGACTCAGCATCAGTTCCAGTTAGAATTATTCTGGCCTTTCTGAATCCCAACAGGATGGTATCGATTGTGATTGAAGTTAAGGCTTTGTCGATTCATCCAGTGACTTCCAGGAAAGTTACACTGTGCACCTGCCCGGTTGCTGTGAAGCTGTGTTCTCCATCCCCCCGCTTTCCGCCAGTCCCTCATAAGTTTCTTGCTCACTCCAAACTTTCTTTCTGCTGCTTGATTACCGTTTTTGGCTGAATATTTCACTACTTGCAGCAGGACAGAGGCTTTTTCTACAGGAGGCAGGCGCAGTAGAGTGGGAAGTGACAGTTGTGCAGGAGTAAAAGTAGTACTAGATAGTGACACATGAGCCTAGAGCGCCCTCTCGCGGTTGTCAGTATGAAAATTTTAATCTATAAATCGCACCGGAGTATAAGTTGCAGGAATACCATGAAGAAAGTGCGACTTATAGTCCAAAAAATACAGTAATTTTTCTAAACATGCTTGTCTCCATGGTGATGTTATCTATCTTGTGTTATATCAACTACAGATTATTTACAGCTCAAAAATACCTTGAAAAACCTGAATTCTGATGAGCAGGGTCGCCTCGCCACAGAGCTGAGTCTCATTTATAAAACCTTACATAGAATTCTTACTAAAAGTGTATGGACAAATCCCAAATGTCCATAAACTTCCTCTAACTTGCTCATTTTTGGACTGGTGCCTTGTCGATTTCAGCTCCTACAGCTCTACTGTGTGCATGAGCCCAAAGCTCTGTTACAGTTTAAATGCCGTCGATTTGAGCTCCCGAGGCAGAAGTGGAGTAACATGTCACATTTTAAAAGGGTATTGGTTTTATTTTATGTTTGGACCAGTTAAGCGTGTAAACATCGACATGTGCGTGTTAGATTTGAAGAATACTTGCAGAATACCTACATTAGATGATTGAATAGTTTGGATTTAATATTTGATTTTATTGTTATCATTTTCATTACTTCATATTTTATTTTGTGTCCATGTATAGAAAACTTTGTAACTTTGTTTAGAAAGGCGCTGTATTAATAAAATATCACTATAAATATAAAAAAAAGAAGAACAGAATAGAAATTCACACTGTAGCCTATGATAATAGCATTAAATAGTCTATATTTAACACTATTTAATTTGAGATTTGAGTGTTTCCAGTCATTTCTTTCTCTTATATAGTGGGAGCCTTATTTGATAGAAGATATAGACCTGTCGAAATGAGCTCCTCTACCTAAATTCATTTAAATGAGTGGATAATGGTGATTCTACAGTGGAAGCATTATTCAATGGCTAAATTGTCCTGTCGATATGTGCTCCCTTTAGTCCGAGCTCTATTTGAGCAGAATGTGACTGTCCAAATGAACTACGCAAATTCAGATAAATTAGTTGAAACTGTACATAACTAAGGTATAAAGTGTGATCAGTGTGTGCAAACAGCATCAAACCCACGTCTCTAATCCAAAGAAATATGTTGTCAAACCTGGGGAGGTCAGGGTTAGAGTTATGTAAACGGAACTGTAAACTGTGTTAACTGTAAATGGAAAAATGTCAATTTACTTATTTTGTGTGAGTCG